GAATGGGAATCTGTTTCCCTGAGTCATGGAAATTGATACAGCATGGGTTTTGGGGGGAAATGGCACAATTTACATCCCTTATGATCCCTTCATGCTCTGCAGTTTACATTGGTTCATTGTGATATTTAGGTGAGATTTTGACCAAGATTGTGCAGGTGAATACAATACAAGATCGGGGCATGTTGGATACTTTATTTAAAAAACACAGTGCTTCAAATCACTATGAGGGGAACCTTGTATGTGCCTCACATTTAAACATGTTAATTGAAGTGGTGTCCTTGAGTTTCAGTGATAAAGAGGATTTCATTACAAGCAGGAGAATTCACAATGGGGTCTCTACAAATGTGATATATTAAACAGCCCTTAATATGGCAGGTTCTGGCACTCCTAAAAAGCAATTTCCTGTTTACTCTCAACAAAGGGTGCACTTTATCAAGTGAAGAACAAATGCAGATTTCCAGCATCTGTGTTTTTCTCCACTTCATCCTGTGTTTATTACCAATATAAAGCAGTTACTACAACCATTCACCTTCAGATATTTTTACAGCCTTTGGTCTTTTGAAAGTCTTGCAATAAATCCTGGTACCTCAATGTCATACCAGTATTACTGCAAATACAATAATGCAGGACATCTGAAACACTGTGTGAAGCCTGCTGTTCAGATATCATTGATAATGGCCATTAACATTTTTAAGCATTTCTTGCTATTAGCGCAGATTTGTTTTGTTTAAAGAAGCAGGATATTGATTTTATAGGTATAAAAAAATATTATTTGGTTTGTAACTACAGCACTGTTGTGTGGTGCAATGACTTCCATGCCCTTTTTTTGTTCAGCCAGTGACAATGATTGACACTCATTTTGATAGAAACTATGGGAAGAAATTATTTCCATTGTCGGTGAGTAGGTGAATAGAGGGCATCCATTTACAATAGTTAGCAAATGAGAAAATGGGGAGGTTGGAAGAAATTGTTTTCACACAAAGAGTAGTTAGGATATGGGTGCAGTGGATGAGGCAGATTCCATATTAACTTTCAAAAGGTAATTAGATTAAGTAAGGAAACGTTGGGCAAGTTTCCTTACTCCACACGCCTCTGTTTACTTAGAAGTAAGTAGGAACCCGGTTATTAGTCAATTGGTGGATCGCTTTTCCGGGGGTAATAATTCCTTCAAAAAAAATTGGTCACTCAAACCACGACTGTTGTGGGACACTGCTGTGCGCAATTGGCTACCGCGTCTTGCCCACAAAATGTACCGTCAATTAACTTAACAGTCAATTAACAGTATATTCTGTGAAGCGCTTTGAGATGGCTTGGAGATGTGATAAGGCTCTATTTCAAATGCAAGAATTATCCTTATTATTAGATAAATATCTAAAAAGAAGTAAACTACAGTGACATGGGGAAAAGGCAGGAAAATGGGACTGAAAGGATTGCTATTTAAAAGAGCCAGCACAGACACCAAGGGCCAAATAGCCTTCTTCTGTGCTGTAAATGTATATGGTTCAGTTAGATGTTCTGTAGATAGATATCCACTGGCATGTATATTCCACTTACGTTCAAACATCAGCTTAGCCACCTCTGGGTTGTTGGTTCAACCCCATGTCAGGACTTTGAGCTTGTACTTGTACTGACATTCCAGTGCATCTGCTGGGGAGTATCTGAATGAAACATTTAAACAAGATCCCATCTGCCTTGTTCAGGGGATCTTAAAGATTCCATGGCTCTATCCGAAAAGAGAAGGGCGTTTCTTCTAAGGCCCTGGCCAACATTCCCCCAGACAAAATTGGTCATTCACTTCATAGCTCTTTGTAGAGTAATGCTGTGGGCAATTTGGTTGCCATGTTCACCTGCAAATATACAGTCAATATACATTCTCTTCAAGAAGATAATAAATACTGTATGGTGCATGTGTGCTGGAGGATGTCTCAAAGTAATTCACAGGATTTACTGTAAAGAGTATACTGTAAAGTGACTGTGTATTTTGTAGAGAAATATGACAGCCAGTTTTCACAAAGCAGTGTACCAGAAACAGCCATGAAATGAGTAACTTTTTTTTATTTGGGGGATTGTTGGTCAAGACTCTGGGAGAAACCCCTTCTCATTTCGAATAGTGCCATAGGATCTCTAAAGTCCACCTGGACAGGCAGAGAGGAGCTCGGTTTAACATCTAACCTACGGTACCTTCAATGATCCAGCATTTCACTGGAGTGCCAGCCTAGACTGTGAAACTCAAAATCCTGATGTGGAGATTGAACCCATAACCTTCTGACTCGGAGACAAGAGTGATACTGAGCGTGCCAGGCTGAAACACTATTGATGAAATTCATGTTCTGTATCTGAGATGAGCACAGACTTGATTGAACAAGGACTTGATTGGTAGCCAGAAACAAACAGGAAAGGGAGTGCCTGTCTGAGAAGCTGGCTAAAACCAGTTAGTACATGGTTGGTGGTGTGAGCGTTTGAGCAATACTGTACACTGCAACTATTCTAAATCATGTGCTTGTCTTGCGTCTTAAATCATTCACTACCTTAGTGACGGAGAGGGGAATGCAGCCTGAATATACAGCGGCTATAAAAAAAATTTTTAGAATTATTTCATGTAAAACTTTGCTGCACCAAAATGAGAGAAATGAAATTCCTAAAGATCCCCTTGCTTTCACAATTCAGTTTTGAGACAGACCCAATTTTAGGTTAGCTGTCACTGTTAAGAGAGAATCCACAGATGTACACTTTTTCATTTGCCTTTAATACAGTATGGCCTTGTAATATTGTACTTCTATTATAGTACTGATTCGTTTATAACACCTTTGTGGCCCCATTCACTGCCCAATTGTACAGCTGGCCCACTTACTTGTTGTTCCGATTCCTGTACTAAAATGATCAACATCTCAGTCATTTGGTTTTCATTGGCATTATTATTAAATAATACTTGCTGGAAGTTTTATTATAATAATACTTGCATTTGATCTAGCACCATATGGTGTCGTCGAGACATCTCAAAGTGCACCAGATATACTATAAGGTGGTGTGACTGTGTATTTTGTGGGTGAATTATTATAAGGATAACGGTGAAAGAAAGACCAGGACTGAAAGTGTACATAGGTGATAGAGATGCCTGGAGACATTTTCTTGCATGTGCATTGGCAGTTTAGAGGACAGGCACTAAATACAATGAAACTACAGGTAAGGTTGATTTCCTTGCAACAAACTGACACTATTATAGTTATCTAAAAATAACTAATGGCAGATAAAACCACCTGGACAGACCCCTGTTGATGCCTTGATTTAATAATGTCCATTTATTAATCCAGCTTTATTTTGAAGTCCAGCCCATGGAGTGGGAACTTGGATTCAAATGGGGATTAGTGGTTATTAAAACCTGATGGCAACTGGCTGTGCATTATTCTGACCATCTGATGCCATCTAATTTGATGTGATTTACTGTCAGTCACTTTAGAGCCCAATTCCCACGAGTCAACTAGACTTCGGTATAGTCAGTAACAGCTTTCTAAGTGTACAAATCGTGGGCAAACCCAATTACAATTCTATGTAATCCTATTTTCTGTATTTAGTGTACATTGTACATCATCTCACAATTCTTTTTTCCTTGCTTCAACCTGAATTGAAAACTTTAGCTGCACAAAGGTCTTCTGCAAAGAGGAGAGGAAAAATGGCCTGTTCCCAGAGTGCGGTTAAGTCACCTGGGTCATTGTCCTTTCATTTTACTTTCATTATTCTTATGAAACCTTCTTTACTGACATTGACTGAAAAACTGCATTTGAAAATGAAAAGCTACGGATATTTACTCAAATTCAAGCTGAACTCCCCCTTTCAGAGAGAATGTGCCAGACAGTAATGGCCTTGTAGTGATCAAAACCCTCTGTCCTTTATCTGCTCCCAGATGTTACTCAGTTGTTCAGTCAGACCCGTGTTAGACTTTTTTTCTGTAAGTTCAATCCAGACCAACTGTAACACTTTCTCTGTAACATTTTTTGTTACCAATCGATGAATGCTCTTCCTTTTCTCATAATTTTTCAGATATGTTTGAATATTGATTACTGTCTGTTGTGAAGGGTGCTTCAATGTGAAAAGGGTATTTTTGTGATTCTTTTCTCGGTATGGCAGCAGGAAACAAAGTTGTTGCCTTCCTTTTGGATCAGTAAAATTAAACCAATGAAGACATTCAAGTTCAAAGTTATTCTTCCTTTCTTTGGGCCAATAATTCTCCAGATAAAATTGGCTGTTTATGGGACATTGCTGTGTGCAAATTGGCTGCGATGTTTACCTACAGTCACCAAACTCTACAATAAATCCCTTGAAGCGTTTCAACTATGTGATAAGGCAAAAGGGATTTCTTAATCGTAGTCTGTATGCCCACTATTATTTGCTACAGTTAGTGACTGAGAACGAATCAACCCAATTGAGTTAAGGAATTAACTTAGCAACTTGGCTCAGTTGGTAGCTCTTTTGTCTCCAAATCAGAAGGTTGTGGATTCAATCCCTGTACGAGGAGCTTGTCTCAAAGCTGTTCACAGGATTTACTGTAAAGTGCAGTGACTGTGTGTTTTGTAGGCTAACAAATAATGAATTTAACAAATAATAAATGTGATGAGTTCTAATCTGCAGTATTTCATAACAAATGGGAACTTGTTCCAGTAACCAGGAAGAAATCAACAGACTCATGGAAACTCTGCTCCAATCCCAACGACTTTTGGATTGAAATTCCCGTGGTTCACCAGGATATAAGGAATCCCTTTGAAAAATGCTGCAAATTAAATCCCACTATATTCTGAACTAATGCTTCATTTTTCATTTCATTTATGCTTTCAGGACAATTCCTTAATAAATTTAACACACTCTTTGACCCAACAGAGTAAGCAAAATGTTAAGCAATCAGTTCCATCTACAATTAAGATTAATATTGTTCAGATGTGTAACCTTTGTTTTGCTGTCTTCCTGAAGTTTTTGTATCTAATGCTATTTTTCCCCCATTCCCTCAGGATTTGTGGATTTAACCCTTCACGACCAGGTACAACTACTGGAATGCTGCTGGTTAGAAATTTTGATGATTGGTCTTGTCTGGCGCTCCATGGAACATCCGGGGAAACTCATATTTGCTCCAGATCTGGTTTTGGACAGGTATTTCACCTTAGCTCTTTAGTTTTCACAGATGTGGTTTTGGATTTGGTGCATCTTTAAGATACACTGGAAACTCCATTCCAATTTTCCATGTTCCTGATTATCCTCCGGACCTATATATTAATACACTGGTTTACAATCTTTAGCGAAGTTCAGACACTTGGAATATATCAAGACCTTTGCTATTGAACTGTAAAGAATCCTTATGGTGAGATTCCTTCTTTAAAAGTGCTAAGACCATAAATTGGGCACTCACTCTCAATTATTCGTCAATTTCGCCAGTGGTGAGTTAGGCAGCTATATAAATAAATAAATAAATAAATAACTGCAGCCAGGATATTGACAGCATGATCACTTAGGTGGTAATGACAAGTTAAGCCAGGGTCGAGTTTTCAGGAGTTTGCTATATATACATGCAGCTGGGTGATGTGATTGTGTCGCTGTGTGATGTGATTATGTTGCTGTTCAAGTGAGTAGTTTGCAAAGTGCTCTCCAGCTGCTTCTCGAGGGAAAGGTTACTTCTAACTTGCTCGCAGATTGTTATTAAAAGCTTTTTGACAAGAATTTATGTTTCAAAATGTTACTGTTGCTTGAAGCTACGTTCATACTTTGTTCTTAGTAACAGAGAAACATGAAGTGGGTTTTATTCTTCCAGCTTCACTAAACTTGGAATTAGGGCTGAAGAAAAGCAAACACCTGGAGCAGGCACAGAATATCCATATTATATGTTAGTTTAAAATATTTTTTTAAGAGATGAAGGATTGGCTCTCTAGTACCTTTTATAAAGGATTTAGGAACATTCTGTGTACTCAAGGTTAGTGAGTCCGGGGATTGAGCAGTGCTGAATGCTATTACAAATCCTGCAAGTTAGGCCCATCAACAGCAACCATGAGGAGCATCAAAGCACAACTTGATTCTGTCCTCACTCAGATCAACACAGGTTGTAATCCTACTACGTGCTGAGCAAGATGGTTTGCCATAGTGCAAGGTGGTGAGACTATACTGATGAGTGGGAAATGGTGCCTTAGGTTGCTCTTGCGAGGCTCAGTTACAGTGGTCTACCTTCATACCGACACTGTGCTGGTTGTTCAGGATCATGAATGTTCCAATGTAGGTCAAGTGATGGGTATGATAGAATATTACAGTACAGGAGCAGGCCATTTGACCCGCCAATCATTAGGCCTTAGATCATTCACTAGGTTCAACCACATCCCTATGAATGATACACATGGAGTTTGAGTTACAGGGACTATTAGAGAAGAGATGCCAAACCATTTAAAAGGTTGTTGAAAAGTACTTCACTTTGTTGATAGTGATACCTATACAAAACACTCAGGTATGCTGGAGTTATTCTTATCTACTTCAACTATGAATTCAGCTGCTATGGCAATAGTACAGTGCACAGAGTTCCTTATTGCTATGTAAATGTTTGTCTAATTACTTTGGTGAGTTAGTTAGAGGCAACTGTTAATTTGTTTTCAATAGATTATAGCTGTCATCTGTGCCGGTCGAGGATGGGGGTGGTAAGTTCACCAAGCTTGGTGCAGAATATGACACAAAGTCTGCAGAGTTCTGAAAAATCTGCAACTTGTGGAGGGAAGAGTTGTGCAGTAGGCAGTTAGCATAGTCAAGCCTGGACATAATGGAAACATGGATCAGGTGTCGTCAGCCTGAGGGGAGAGATAGTGGCAGAGATGAGCAATGTTGTGAATGTGGAGAAGGCAGAATGGGTCATGCCAAGGATGTGGGATTTAAAGGACAGTTAAGGGTTGATCAAGACACCAAGATTCCGTATTGGCTCTGGTATGTGGAGAGTACATCCATGAATAGTGATGCTGTCAACACCTGAGTGACAGAGGATGTGCTAATGAGAGCCAAGTAGGATGTTAGTTGAAATTCAACTGGAGGAAGTTAGCACTCATGCCGGACTTGATGGCAATCCTTTAGGACAGCAGTAGTCCTGGAGTTGAGGGGAGAGGGAGAGAGATGGAGTTGGGTCATAACATAACATAATGGATGATATCACAAGTGGGAGCATGTAAATATTAAAGAAGAGAGTACCAAGGACAGAGCCCAAAGGAACACTGCACTTGACGGTGTGAGACTGGAGGAGAAGCCATTTGGATATACATAATGGAGTTGATGGGAAAGATAAGAATGAAACCAGGCAAGGTTGGAACTGTGAAGGTGGAGCTGAGAGGAGAGGTGGTGAAGAAGAACAGAGAGGTCAACAATGTCGAAGACAGCAGAGAGATTGAGAAGGACGAGGAGACAGAGAGAGCTTTGGTCACAGATGGACAGAATACCATTTGTACCTTTGACTAGGGCAGTTTCTGTACTATGAACAGCAGGAATACCAAAAGTATACATTTCCAGAAAGACACAGCAGGTCAATTGGTTCCTGAATGAGAAAGATAAGGTTAAGAGTTTGGGTTTAATCCTTCATCAGGGTGAAATGGTATCACTGCCTTGATGGCTCAGCAAATTGACCAGTGAGCAGCAGAGTACTGTTACATTATGGAAGGCTTTACCATAAATGACTGTTGTGCTCAGGACTGACAAGGACTCTGCTTTAAAGGAGCAGAGTTTGAATAATAATAATTATTTCATTTGGTATAGCACCTTTCACATCAGGATGACTCAAAGCACTTCATAGTGTAAAGTGTGTATTTTGTATCTGTAGAACATGGCAGACCATTTATGCACAGCAATGTCCCACAAACACCCATGGATGTCCAATATTATTTGGGGGATTGTTGGCCAGGAACCAGGAGAATATAGTGCTGTGAGATCTTTAATGTCCACCTGAACAGACAGATGGGACCTTGGTTTAAAGTCTAATCGGAAGGACGGCAGCTCTGAAATTGCAACACATCCCCTGACTGCATTGGAGTGTCAGCTTAGACCATGTGAGTTCGAGGTCCAACATGGAGCGTGAACTCACAACCTTCTGAGACAAAGGAGAGAGTACTACTACTGAGCCAGCTGGCACAATTGGCCAGGCTAAATGGTATTCTGTTCCTATTTCCCACACACAATTTAAATTTCTAGACAAAAAAGGTTGCAATTTATAGTCTCTACGTTCTCTAAAGTGTTCTGGAGTGAACAATATTGGGAACATGATGTGTTTGGAATCATTAATGCTTAAGAATACTAAAGACCTCATCTGAAATGAAAGACCAATTTAAAAAGAGACATGGTTGCCATGAACTCAATCCTGCAATGCGCACACAGCATCAAGAAATGCATAAACACAGCTATTGATTCTAAATGGATGGTTTTGAACCTGAAGGGAGAGTGTAATGTAAAAAGGAAATTTTTTTTTAAGCTATCGGCTTCATAGAAAAAGATAAATCAGTCATAAGTGGTGATTTCAAAAACTTCATCCCTCAGGCAAGCATCAGTCAGATATCCAGTTACTTGTAAAAGGCCAGATATATATTTCTGCTATGGCAATGTAATACAATCCTGGTCAGAGCTTTATATAAATGAAAAGTGACTATCAGATTAGTCTTTTTTTAAAACTGACTACACACAAAACAATAGAGACTGAAAGGATTGCTCTTTAAAATACACGATGGGTCAAATTATTATGTTATTTCTGTAAATTTTTAGGGTTCTAAAATATTATGGAGACATCAACACATACACACATACCGACCAAAATGGACAGGTCATCAGACATAAAATGTGCTATTTTACCCATGCTACTCCATCCCACAGTCACTTTGCCTCGCTTCCTCTCTTGCCTCCTTCAAGGCCAGTCTCAAGACCCTCCTCTTCGATCGTGCCTTCAGTCACCCTTCCACCTCTCTGCCTTCCTTCACCGCTACCTCACCCCTCCCCCATGCTCGGGTCCTGACCCCTAACTGTCCAGCACCTTGGGATGTCCTCCCGATGTGAAAGGCGCTCTATGAATGTAATTTTGTTGTTGTTGTGTTGGGATATGCAGCAAGCCACTTTGGCTTCTGGTATTATATCAGTTGTTTTAAGTGTAGGTGGTTGTGGGTGGGGGGCTGGTGCAGGTTGCACCATCTATTGCCCTCTGTATCCTCCAGTTGAGCACCAGCTTTGTCTTTGAAAGGGAGATTTAGCCACAATTATTTTTCCTATGTAAAATTCATCCTGTGGAGTCCTGTAGCTCAGTGGTTAGAGCACTCGCTTTGCAAGCGAGAGACCTGAGTTCAATTCCAGGCAGGGCGAAACCTTGGGCAAGTTTCCTTACTCCACATGCCTAATAATAATCCCTCCAAAAAAAACAAACAAAAAAAAAACAATAATAAATTGGTCATTTTCAATCTACGACTGTTTGTGGGACATTGCTGTGCGCAATTGGCTGCCGCGTTCGCCCACAAATATACAGTCAATTCACTTTACAGTGTGTTCTGTGAAGCGCTTTGGGACGTCCTCCCGACGTGAAAAGCGCTATATCAAATGCAAGGATTATTATTATTATTATCCTCTAATATATTTACTCCATCCTCACATCAAATTCATTGTAATTTGCAGATCCCAGCTATTCCCTTGCTTTCTGCATTACTGCTGATGTTGCTCTGACTGTGTATCTTTTTTCACACACATCATTTACGTCTTCGGTGCCCAAAGCTGGCTGCAATTGCTGGGAACGACTGCTGATTTAATGAAGTCATTTTGGCATTGAAAGGAATCGGGATCCAAACATTTAACACTGGCCGTGGTATCATCAAGAACCCAGTGAGCAGCATCTTTGTAATTTGTTGTGCTGACATCTTTGTCCACCACACGTGCCTAAGTCTTCCCTTTTATTTGTAGACCTTGCTGCATGGAGTGCCTAACAGAGTGTGTTTATAAATACTGCAATTTTGTCCTCATAGGTCCACACTTGGCATCCGTAGGGTTGTCTCTCCCACTGCAAACATCACCACATCAGCAGGGCCCTATCTGAAAATCAGCTCTTATAGATTTGCCACTTGCATTTTGACCTACCCATCTGGATTTGGGACTACATTGCCTCACTGGAGTGACAATGCCTCATATTATCTTTGGCTTTTATGTTCACGAGCAGGGCTAAAATAAAAAATCAATAAAAATGCTCTGTTTCTATATAAAAAAAGGAATGTCAGGGTCCCTAACAGTATAGCTGTTTGAGGTTATTTTTCTTTTTTCGTTTTTTTCACAAATTTGAATCTCTTCATAATCTTTCAGGTTCTCTTTATGTTCAGAGTCTGGAAAGCACGCCAACAGGTTTGTGTGTAACTACACTAGTTTCACTATATTAATCATAATTTCAGCTTTGCCAATTACCATTTATGGTGTGACAGACATCCTTTTTTTGAGAGATTATAATGCAAACAATTAGGAGCAGCTTTCCCAAGTCGTACTTCCTCCCTGGACTGCTGTACATTGTGCCAACACTGTCCTATAGCTGATATTATGCTCTCAACCAAATGATACAGTATGTACTGAGACCTGTGTTAAAGGAATACCTTAAAATAAGACTGCAGAATGTCTCATCTTCAAGTTTTCTTTCTAAATCAAATTTTGAAAAAAAAACACTAAATACTTTTAAAATAAATTACAAAGCAATACCCTACATGTGCGGGTTCAAGCTTGAAGCCTCAATTTTCCCATTTCCACCCAAACAGGTTTCCAGGAGTAGAACACTTTGCCAGGGCTCCCCAGAATCAACCAGCGCTCAGACATCATAAATAGACTTCATGCAATGACTGAGAAGTAATGTTACAGAAACAGTCGGCAAATTACGCCAGGGTAATTCCCTGAATGTTGATAAATTTATCCACTGTTAAGATAAAAGCACTTCATTCTCTACTGGTTCGTCCATAAAAACAGAAGTAAATCATCTCTTTGTCCTCACTATTTTCTTGCCTTTATTAATTGCCTTCTGCAATGTTTACTCTTGCCACTTCCCTTTGCCCTTACATAAACCATTTATTGTAAGTTTATTAATAGCCTCTAATGGACAACCTTAGGCTCTCCTTCTCCATCACCAACTGGCTCCTCTGTCCACCCTCTCACACATCCTCGCCTCCAACACCAACTGCGAGGCGATGCTGGACTTCCTCGAAACCAAAGCCGAGGGGAGCCGCTCAACTGTCTCTGCCCTTCCATTTACATCTCCTCTCCATCTTCTCCTCACACCTGGCCCCTACCAATCCTCCCTCCACACCTTTGAACCTGTCTCCCCCTGCTCTCTCACCACCACTAAAACCCACATGAAACCAAACACTTGCTCCCTCAACCCTATCCCTACCCCTCTCCTTACCTCCCAGCTCCACCTCCTTGACCCTCTACTCACAGACATCATAAATCTCTCCCTGTCCACTGGTACGGTTCCCACCCCTTAAAAACATCCGTCATCACTCCTATCCTTAAAAAACCCTCCCTGGACCTATCCCTGTTCTCAAACTACTGGCCCATCTCCAACCTCCCTTTTCCTGGAATGAGTCGTTGCTTCCCAGCTTCGCTCCTTCCTCTCCCGTCACTCCCTTCATGAACCCCTCCAATCGGATTTCCATGCCACCCACAGCACAGGAACAGCCCTGGTCAAAGTGACAAATGGCATTTAATCTATTTGCGACCAGGCTCCCTCTACTTCCTCGTCCTCCTTGACCTCTCTGCTGTCCTCAATATCGTCAACCACTTTATCCTCCTCCACCGCCTCTCCCCTCACCTTAACCTTCATGGTCTGTCCTTGAATGGTTCAAATCCTACCTCTCACACCGTCTCCACTTCATCTCCAAAAACGGTTTCTCCTCTAGCCCCCACACCATCTTATGTGGTGTTCCTCAGGCCTCTGTCCTTGGTCGCTTCCTCTTCAATATCTATATGCAACCTCTTGGTGACATCATTCACAGACATGGGGTCAACTTCCACATACCTGTGGATAACACCCAACTCGTATCTCTCTGCCTCCACCCTCGACTCCAGTCCCACTGCTGTCCTGACAGAATGTCTGCCAGACGTCATATCCTGGATGAGAGCTAATTTTCTACAGTTGAACTTCAACAAGACCGAGGCTCTCCTGATTGGCTCCCGTCAGTACCTCCACAACTCGAGCGCTGAAAATTACACCATCCAAGGATGCACACTCCACTTCACAGAGCCAGTCTGGAACCTCGTAGTCTTGTTTGACCCTTAACTATCCTTTCTACCCCACATCCTTGCCATGACCCTGCTCTGCCTTCCCCCACCTCTGCAACATCGCCCGGCTGTCCACCTCTGTCTCTCACCGCAGGTCACCGAGACCCTCATACATGCATTCATAACATCCAGGTTTGACTATGCAAACTCCTTGCTTGTCGGGCTCCCCAACTCCTCTCTCCATAGGCTGTGGATCATCCAGTACTCTGCAGCCCATGTCCTCTCCTACACCAGGCTCTATGATTTTATCACCCCCATCCTCACCCAACTCCACTGGCTTCCCATCACACAGCGGATACGGTTCAAGATCCTGGTCCTCACCTTCAAAGTCCTTCATGGCCTTTCTTCTCCGCCCTACCTCTGTGACCTCCTAACCCTCTATCAACCTGCCCACTCCCTCCGCTCAGCAGGCTCTGGCCTGCTTCACGTCCCCTGCCTTGCCCGCCCCACCATTAATGGGCGGGTCTTCAGCCACTCTGCCTCCCTCTCTGGAACTTCATCCCATAGTCCCTCTGCCTCACCCCCTCCCTTGCCTCCTTCAAGACCCTCTTCTTCAACAGTGCCTTCAATTACCCTGCTTCCCCCCTGCCCCTGCCCTCCACCCTCCCCGATCACGACCCCCAGCTCGGGTCCAAAACACTGATTGTCCAGAGCCTTGGGACGTCCTCACAATGGAGTCCTGTAGCTCAGTGGTTAGAGCACTCGCTTTGCAAGTGAGAGACCTGAGTTCAATTCCAGGCAGAGGGCGAAACCTTGGGCAAGTTTCCTTACTCCACATGCCTAATAATAATCCCTCCAAAAAATCAAAACAATAATGAATTGGTCATTTTCAATCTACGACTGTTTGTGGGACATTGCTGTGCGCAATTGGCTGCCGCGTTCGCCCACAAATATACAATCAATTCACTTTACAGTGTGTTCTGTGAAGCGCTTTGGGACGTCCTCCCGACGTGAAAAGCGCTATATCAAATGCAAGGATTATTATTATTATTATTATAATGTGGAAGGCGCTATACAAATGTAATTTAATTGTTGTTGTTGTTGCATCTCATTGTTTAAGAACTCTGTCTCCTCTCTGCCAATCAATTGCTGATCCATGGCACCAGATTGCCTTCAATTTAATGCCTAATCTCCAGTGTGGAACTTTATCAAATGCTGTCTGAAAGTGTGTCTCCATCACTGAACTTAATTTCCCCCCTAACACTAGCATTATAATCCCCTTTTCCACTATGAAGAACAAAATAAAGCATTCATTTAGCAGTTTGTCATGTCCTTATCCTCTACCGTTATCTTATCCAATTTGGTTTTAAGTGGGCCGTCACCATTACCGCTCTTGTTCCTGGTACACATTTTTTAAAATGCTGTTTTGCCTGATACCATCTGTAAGGTTTTATTGGTTCTCTCACGTTGCCCTCATTATTTTTCTTGCCATGGTTTAGATGCCTTCTGCAATCCTCTCAATCCCTAGTCTCTCCACTTTCTTGTTTTATACATTTACTGCTCTTGTTATTCTGAGTTTATAAAGTAATGGATTTTCAGGACCTTTCCTGACCAGTAGAAAATAATAATGCTGTGAGCGTAACTCTTGGATCTCAGCAGTTGTAGAAATGAGAAAGTAGCAGTCAGGAAAGCAGCACAGGTAGGTGCAATTGGTAATTCATTGAAAAAATACTGAAGTTGTTTTTAACTTTCTTCGAAATTGTACAATGGAAGGAAACTTGTGGATAGAGTTTTGCCTAGGAGCACTGTTTTAAATCATTGATAATCGGCAGTAATAACAGTAAACGTTGCATCACTAACCTGAATGATATTGCCTACATTCATATATTTTACCTAACAGTTGATGTCACTCACTGGGTATTTGACTGTAAAAGACAGTCAGTGGTGTTTGTAATGTTACTAACATCAAGACCCAAGTTATTAAACAGCTAACACATAACACTGGTGTACGTTCAAAAGCAAAGCATTTTTTTATGTCCAATCCCATTCAAGTGGATTGTACCATTTATCTCCCTGCAGTTGATTACTTCTTTGCTCAGAATGTATACGTTACCTTGTTAAAAGGAGCAATCCAGTGTTTCAACCAACACAAGGCAACACTGATTTGATTTAGCTGAAGGGCTGTCTTTTGATGCAACAATGGAACATTGAACTAATGTTTTAATTTTGTCACCTCAGAAATGAAGGGAAATGTGTTGAAGGAATGGTGGAAATATTTGATATGCTCCTAGCAACAGTATCACGCTTCCGATTGCTAAAGCTGCAGTGTGAGGAGTACATCTGCCTCAAGGCCATCATCCTGTTGAATTCTGGTGAGTCAGAGATATGTATGCACCAAGACTGAAAATGATTGAGAGGGCAGTTGGTGGGGGGGTGGGGAACAGGGCACAAGGACAGGCAAAATGCCTAATGTGTTGAAATAATACATGTGTAAATAAATAAATATTGATGACATTTGGTGTCTTTAAGTTGTAAACCTTTTTTTTCCCCCCATTCCATTGGATTTGGTGCCAGAATCTGCCTCCACCACCTGACTGGGTAATCTATACAGGCTTGAAGTAAAATTAATTAGTGTCATTTTAAATGTAAAGTATGTGAGCACAGCGTTCATCTCAGACATTTTTTTGGTGGGTGGGGAGGGAATCTTGCAGTGCAGGTCAATAAATCATTATACATTTTGGTGTCAGTTAGAAATTGGAAGTTAAGTGGAGTTCCTGTTTTGGCAATATGTCAGGTAATCGGTTGACTTAGGTGGATAATAATTATTGCGCTAATTTTACCAACTCTCTCCTTTGATCAGGAGTACACCCAATGGTACCATCACATCTAAAGTAATTCCCCACAAGTGGAATTTGGCGAGCTTCCCTTAGATTCGAACAACAACAACTTGCATTTATGGAGCGCCCTTTAACCCAGAGTAGAGTTTGCTGAGTCTTTACAGGGGTACAAATGCGCAAACTCTACAAAACACAAAAGAAGTTGAACACCTTCAGAAGAGAAGGTGGGAAAAAAAAGAAAGTCTTAATAAAAAATGCACTGTTTGAAAATGAAATGTAACAGTGGGCAGATTACTGCATTTGAAGTAATCTGAAGGAAGTATAACTACAAAATCTAACCATGGAACTGGAGGTTGTGTGTCATGCATGCTAAGAGTGCAGCAGTGGAACTTCACACGAAGGGCGGTATAAATTTCTGCCCCCTCTGGATTGCAGTGTCAGCTGGTAATGGAATCGGGTTGAAAATGCACTTTGTGGATTTTGCTCCTCAAATCCTGCTATTGTTCTGTAACATGCAAACTTGTTTCTATTGCTATCTAGGACGACAGTGTGAGAAATGATAGTTTGTAACGCAGTTTATTATATAATAGCATGACTTTGACGTACAGCAAGCCACCACAGTGGAGGATTTCACATTGCAAATCACATTTACCTGGAGCCCCTGCAAATAAATATTTGTCTCGCAGGTGATACTGGGTTCCCTGCAGATCCTTGCATATAGCACCATGTAATTTTTTGCCTTCGGAGAGCATCTATGCAATAATAAATGGGCATAACCAGTATAATAGGGCACCTTACCATGTAGGAGGAAGAGAAGTAGGTGGCCAGAGTATGGCATTGCAGGTGCAGAATCCGGATTTATCCCTACGATTATTTTGCGGCATTTCTAACAGATTTCTTAATGAAGGAATCTGAGTTGGGTCTCCTTCATCACTAAATACATAAACCTGTCATTCCAACCTGAGGAAATAGGTTGCGTTGGAGTGGAGTTCCTGTGGGTTGGATTTCTGGACTTCTAGCTATTGCAGGGAGCAGGTGAGGAACTTCAACAACAAGGACATCCCAAGGCGCTGGATAGTCAGGGAATTTGTCCCGAACGAGGGTTGGGATCAGGAACGGCGGAGGGCAGGGTAGTTAGGGGTAGGAGGGTGCCCGAATTCAGTATTCAGACTCTTCCTTTTCAGTCACTTTTGAGGAGGGTGTCTTGAGATGTGCCTTGAAGGAGGTAAAGGAGGGAGCAAGGTGGAGGGACTGAGGGATGGAGTTCCAAAGGATTGGGGCAGAGAGGCTAAAGTGAAGAACTGCAGAGGAGGGGGAAGGGGTGCACCCACTGTAGTTAGGTTTTGAGTACAAATGTTTTGCAAAAGACTTTTCTTTTCTTTTGACATTTTGTGAGGAGTCTGGTGGTGAATTTGCTGTCAGGTAGGTGCAGGATAATCCCAATTTGTTTTCCCACTTCAATTTGTCTGAATTCCCAGACCCCGTTAATAATATGAATACTGTAACATACCTGGTATAGTACCTAATGGAATAATACATGGAAATAGTAATATTTTATTGTTCAAATAAAAAGCTGTCAATAAAAGGGAGCAAAATAAAACCTTGCATATATCTTTCTGCCAGCAGGTATTACTGAAAGTTACTTATCAAGGGCTCCCCAAAATATTTGGGTTTTATTTGCTCAGTTATAGTTTGTTAAGTAGAAAGTATTCAGACTTTTCCTTTTCAGTTCACTTTTGAATAAGAGCAAAAGTTTTTAAATTAGGAACAGCCCACTTAAACTGTTTGCTTCAATGGTAAGTTATTCATACATCTATTAACTAGAGTGTCAGGAAGTTCTGGGTGACTTGACATTTAATTTTGGCTGTTTACAATCGATTAAGTCTTTTTGTATAAAGGTGATTTCTGCCATCATTCATCACGAATCTGAAAGAATCCCAAATCATCATTGTGTTAACTAGTCAACCATGATATTAAGATCTAAATGATTCAGGTAAATGTAAAGCCCTTGACAATATTATCCTAAACAGTGCAGATTTGTAAGAACCAAACAATTTGCCTTAAAACCAATTACACAACCAGCCAGATATTAGGCCAACCATAAAAAGGAATAAAATAAATTCTTCAATTATTTTTCTTTTTGTTAGGCACCACAATGCATATCGATAGACAAGGGCATGACGGTTATCATTTATATAGTTATAACTTCTTGAAGAAAATGTTATTGTCTATGTAAAGTATGTGAAATTGGCTTTCTCAAATCAAATTCACTTTTCTCCTCCAATTTTCGTCCCGTCTCCTCCTTTCCTGAAACCACTTGACTCCTTTTTCGTCCTAGTGAGGTATGGTTTCTACGGTGCCAATCAATCTCCAATAAATAGCTCACCCGACTAGTCATTACTCATGTGCAAGCCTTGACAATGAGTGTTGGTTATTAAACTGCAGAGGGCATCACAGCCCAATCCTGTACTTCCCCAACATCCACACGGCTTCCAGCAGAAGTCTCTGGATAATAGTAATTCAGAGCAGGAATCTTGGCAGGTATTTCCCCCATTCTCCCCGCCCAAACACAGGAACACCAAATATGATTGCAGCACCCTAATTAATGTTATAAGATTAAACAAGCTGAGATAATATTACCAAAAGGTCACCCTTACTAAGCAATCCGATCAAATTCTGATCCAAACAAAACATTTCTTCAAAAATGTAACTATTTATCAAGATTATTAATCACTAAGGTTTGTCAGTGAATAATCTCCTATGTTAAATACAGGTCCTGGAGAATAGAACAAGGTGTTCCAATATTACAAAGAACAATAAGGCATAAATCAGGGAATTATAAACCTGTTCTCCTGGCACTGAAAATGCTTGAGGCATGATCAATGTTTAAGGAGCTTGTAGAGACTACAAGTGATAGTCCCATCAAAGTCCATTCAAGCATGACCAGAGGCCACAAATTCAAAATATCTACAAATATTAAATTTTCAGGTTTACTTAATTCAGAGCTGAGAAGAATTTAATACAAATTATTCGCAGCTTTAAAAGTTCTGGATTTGGTCCTGCATGAATTATGGGATGCACTGAAATAAACCAAGCTGTGATATTTAGTTTAGAAAATAGTTGAAGGTTATAAGAATCTTTATGTAAACACTTCATGGAACAGCACCAAGGCTATATGGTTGGGATATTAGAAATGCCACCATTTCTGTTGAGATTCACTTTCAGATCACAAATATGACTTGCACTGGCTGAGTTTTTATTCAAGTAGAAGTAATTATTGTGATTATTCACTGTAACCAGCTCTGTATTAATAAGGTGTATCTAAATTAGAGAGAGTGGACATTTGTGGAGTTTTTGGTGATCATTATTGATGGTCAGGCAGGTATTTCCAATCTCTGCCCTCTTTGGGGTGGGGGAGGGTTGCCTATGATTAGGTGCCTCAATCAGGACATTATGGTGTTTTGGGCTGAGTCCATGACAACAGAATCTGACTGACGAAAGTCTGTGGAAGAGAGGAGCCCAATGGACTGCGAGTCATTAACCTCATGCTGTACTGTCACGTACAATATTCTTTGTTTTCGTTCTTAAAATGATTTGTTGTTGCATCAAAAAAGTACCACTCTTGGTGAAAGAGCGATTGAAGGGAATAAGAGAGAATGTGGTGTGGTATTCTTTGAATGTAGTAACTGGCAGGTGGAGTGTATGGTTTTATCTGATCCTATTGATTCTAATGTTCAGAATAAACAGTCCAGAAAGAGATGAAGGAGTCTGAGGAGTACTGTGAATCTGTCATTAGCATTTCAGATTTTGGTTAAAATTTGCGTTGTTTTTAACAGGATTTTGTAATAAGGAATCTGACTCACACAAGTGGGACTTCTTCCACCAACTGGAAGTATGTCGGATTGACCTGCGAGAACTCTGCTCCAATGAGATCTACTTTAGGAAAACAGTTCCAAGGTCAACGGGAATGTGAACAAGATTCCTTATTAAGGGATCCCTGTGAGGAAATAGCATAAATTTTTCCCCGATTATTCATACAGCAATTTCTATTCCATTTAGCTTTTATCATGTACTCCTGTCTCTGGGTTCAGGGAGAGAGCAGCGCTCCTGTAAGAATCAGGCAGCTCCTCACACACACACATTCACACACACTGTACCACACGGAAATGCAGTCTTACATCTGGGACTGAAACCGTAGCCTCCTAACATGCGATCTGAAGGCTTTATTCTGGGCTGGTATCCATATGATATTACCCTGTTCTTTAGTGTGATTCAGCCTAATGTTGACATCTCATGTTACAGGCACTCAGTAGGTAGTTCATGAAGTACTTGAAGATAAGGTTCTTGGTCAGGGAAGGGTGGTTGTCAGTGCCCTTAACAATCTGCATTTGCAGCTGCTGAGAACTCACAGAAGCTGAGTCGGTTTGCAAGTTGTGGAGTGTAGAGAACTGCCCAGAACACAGGTTGGCAGAAGTTGACAGAAACTAGTGTATTTGGACCACAAAGTACTTATTGAAGGACTGGTGAATTTGAAC